ACTATAACTATTTCAATTGGGTGCCAATTACAACCTTGTGGCTGCTAACATTTGCTTATTTTATGCTAATTTTAGCTATTTTATGCTACTTTAGTTGTAGATCTGCTTCTTTCTGCGATTCTTTTGCTATTTTCTACTATTTATGCTTTTTTTCTGCCACCTAGTGCTATTTATGCATCTCACAGATATTTTCAGCTATATTCAGCTATTTTAGCTCATAATCTTTAGCTGTTTTCTGTTTTCAACTAGATTTGTGCTCCTTTTTACCGTTTTTCTGCAAAGTTAGGCTTTTTCTTTTGCTTCTTTTAGCTTTTTTCAAAGTGTGCTCACATTAACACTTTTTTAAAAATATTTTTAGCTCAATTTCAGCAGCTTTCGGCCAAAGTTTTCAGCYTGAAACATTCACACTAGCATTRTCGCAGGAAATGCAATTTCTCTAYTTAACATTAGATTCATGATGTAAACTTTTATATAATGTTTCTGTCCTTTTTAAATGGCAAACTTCAATCTTTAGCCAAAAAACTAAACTGCAACAACATAAAAGGAAACTCCGTGGTGGGTCTAATTTCCGTTATCTTTCCTTCTCACTAGGTTTCGGGGTCTTTAAACCTTCTCCGGAAATGTGCCCCGTCCTATCACAGAGGAGATCTGGTGGAGGCCTGCGTGGAGAGACCCAAACATGGCAGCTGCTCCTTGGTTCCCCCCAGCTGTAAACAGTCCCACGCCGTGTTCCAAATCCTGCACTTCCTCGTCGACAAAGACTTCCTCAGTCCGCAGACGGTGGAATACCAGATCCCGACGCTGAAATACAGCCTTCTGTTTCTACCCGTGGACAAAGGAGAGCACATGATGGAGATCTACATGAACAGTCTGGAAGGCAGGGATCTGACCTACAACAACACAACTATWACTGGGATAGACTTTGGCATCAAGAAAACCCTGTTCAAATATTACCTGCTGAGAGACCTGGTATACCCAGTCTTAGCTATTTTATCMATTTTGCTCACCATGGTTTTATATCTCCACTCTTTCTTTATAGTAGCAGTGTCTATTCTGGCAATCACAGCTTCACTTCTAACCTCCTATTTCTTTTACAAAGTTGCGTTTCGCCTGGCTTTCTTTCCCACTGTCAACYTCTCAGCAGCTCTGATTCTCTTAGGAAGCTGCTCCAATCACGCGTTTGTCTTCTCCGACTTCTGGAACCAGCAGCTTACYCAGAACCCCTCAGCCTCCCTGGAGAAGAGAGTAAACAGAGCCTTACAGGAAATGGGCTATTTGATTTTAGCTTCAGGGCTAACCTCCAGCGCGGCGTTTTTCTCCGGTTATCTCAGCAGCATCACAGCAATTAGGTGCTTCTCCGTTTATCTGGGAATTTCCTCTCTTGTCAGCTCGCTGCTGGCTTTGGCGTGGCTGCCGTGCGTGTTCGTTCTGTGCGAGCGCCACGGAGGGTCACCCGCGGCGTCGGCGTGGAAGCTCTGCTGTTCCAACAACACAAGCGGCTTCTGGGGTACGAYTTCCCACAAGAGGTGCATCTTCAGCGTCACGCAGAAGCTGAGAGAGATAAAACAGGCTCTCTTCGACATGTCTGATTTACTGTTCCTGAAAATCCTGCCCCGRGGGGTTGTGAAGTTCCGGTACATCTGGGTGTGCTGGTTCGTGGCGCTGGCTGCCGGGGGCACCTACATGTCCTGCGTGGACCCGGGCATGAAGATGCCTGCGCTCGACGGCTGGGCCGTACAGCTGTTCCGCTCCAGCCACCCGTTCGAACGTTACGACGCAGAGTATCGCCACGTGTTCATGTTCGAGAGGCAGAGCAACGGGGAGGACAAACCCCTTACGTTGACGCTCGTTTGGGGGGTCAAACCCACCGATAACGGGGATCACTTTAACCCAAACAGCAACGGCTCTTTAGTCCTKGACTCTGACTTCAACATGAGTCGACCTGAAGCTCAGGTTTGGTTGAGGGATCTGTGTAGACGGGTCCAGAACCAAAGCTTTTATTGCCCTCCATCGCCTGAGAGRAAAGATGATAARATTTGTCTGGTGGAGCAGCTGGTGKGCTGGATTTCTGTCCGGCGGTGCTCGGAGAATGACGACGCCCTTCACTTCTGCTGTGACATCCCTTTCCCCTATCCTCCCGCTGTCTTTGAGCGCTGCCTRGGCTCCATGCTGGCAGAGAATTACGCCGAGGGCCAAACCGCAAATGGCGGAGGCGTGTTCTTCCAAGCAGACGGCAGGATTGCTGCACTCGTGTTGGCGTTCAAAACTACGCACCTCTACAGCTTCAACTTCAGCAGAACCGGCATTTTTTACTGGGAATTCCTGGCATGGTTTAACACGGAGATGTCAGGAGCGCCGCAGGGTCTGGAGAACGGCTGGTTTGTCAGTCAGCTGTCTCTCTTTGACCTGCAGCAGTCTTTAAGTTCAGAGACTCTGGTTGTCGCCGGATTCTCTGTAGCTCTCACACTTGTTTTGTTTCTTTCGACCACCTGGAACATTCCTCTGAGCATCTACGCGACGGTCGCTGTCGGAGGGAGCATGTTCGTCACCGTCGGCCTCCTCGTTCTTCTCGAGTGGCAGCTGAGCGGCATCGAGGCCCTGTTCATATCCTCAGCAGCGGGGTTGTCCGTTGACTTTGTCATGAACTACTGCGTGTCCTACAGCCTGGCTCCTCATTCGGACAGGATTGGGAAGGTCGCGCACGCCACCAAGAAGATGGGACGTCCCGTGGCCATCGTTTCCGGGTTCTTCTTCTTCACGGGGATCRTCATGTTACCCGCCACGGCCTTGCACTTCAGAAAAACCGGGATTTTTTTGTTTCTGGTGAAATACATGGCGTGCGGATTCGCCACCTTCTTCTTCCAGTCCCTGTGCTGCTTCTTCGGACCCAGAGGCAACTGCGGCACGAATGCGCTGCCGTGTCTGTCGGCGATGAGGGATGCTTTCTCYGAACCCTCGCCGGCGTCGTCTGCCAATGGCGCCTTTGGCGGATCGAGAGGGGGGAGGAGGGGTCACGACAAAGAYGCGGGAGGTTACCCCAGCCACCGGCGTCATCCCCAGCAGAGACAGGCCGGAGGCGCGGGGGCAGAGCAGTACGAGCTGCAGCCGTTGGCCTACCGCCTGAGCGACAGCTTTGAGAACAGCACGTGCACCAGCAAGCTGTCCAACCGGCCCTCGGTGCTCTCAGATGAGATCGAGTTCAGTGCAGACGTGGAGAGGAGTGGCATGGGTAGAGAGAGCGAAGAGATGGGTCAACYACTGCCGGCCGTCCAGACTTCGTCTCCTTACAGAGAAAATGCAGTCCGCTCTGTAGCCCTGCTGCACACAGACCCCTCTACAGGAAGGCTGCTGTGTAAACCCTGGACAGCCCCGTCTGTTGGGGTAAAGAAGTGGAGCTCCTCCTCCTCATCTTCAAGCCTAGAGGAGACCATCATCAGCCACACGATGGAGACCACTGACCAGCCTTCTGTGAGTAAGGACACGAGTCAGAGTGCCCACAAGGAGACCCTCTCCTCCCGGTCTCAGAGCTCCTGTGAGGGTCCGGAGGACTCCTGTGAAACATGTCTGAGTGACGCTGAGGCCGGGCCTTCCAACCTGCAGCTGCAACCGGGACGCCTCAACGGGAAGAGAGACACGCTGAGGCTGTCCCTGAAGGAAACTGTTTACGAAATGAGCGCAGGCCGCAACGAGGAGGCGGTCATTTTACCTAATAGCAAACCGGATTTACCAGATGTTTGGATCAAACGAGACGGACAAGGAGAGGATGCGTGATGATCCACCGCTCCTAATTCACACAACACAGTGGAAACTGTTGTTTTTGTCAAATTCTTTAGGGGGAAATAAAAGCCACTTGTACAGCCTGACAGCATGGTTTTAATATTGTTATCAATGAGGTCAGAGGTCACAGCTGTGCGTCACTTGAAAATACGACTGTTAAACTTCTGAAGCTAAACTTTCTGCATGGATCAGTTTTAACTCAGAGCTCCAGGTTTTTATTCTCCCCAATGAGCTGTTTATATTCATGACCTTTTGTTTGTTTGTTTGTTTGTTTGTTTGTTTCTGGTCTGTTAACTTCAGTGTTAAATGTGTTTATGTTGTGGGAATTTGCAAAATCTTCAAGTTTTCCACATCTTTATATTTTACAGTTTGGCTCTCAAATCAAAATAATTTTTCCAACACAAATTAGTCATTTTTATTGCACAAAACATAATTTTGACCTATTTTACAGACAAATTTAATCTTTATAACATATTAATAAAACAATGTTTTATATAGAAGTTCTATTTTATCC